CTGCCAGGTGTCTCCCGCAGATCCAACAAATAGCCGAGGCCACCAACGTTCATTGGTTCTCGAAGCACCATCATTGCTCCCAGTAGACGCCGGAAGGTCTCGAAGGTCCACTCATCAGAAAACGCCTCAGGATACGCGTTTTCAAGGATAGTGAGGTATAGTGTATTGATGTCTGTCATTGCCTTGTTGTCGAACTGGGCAAGTGCACTATCCATAACTTCCTTGCCGCGAATCCGAAGGAGGTTGTGAATATAATTTACAGCTGTTACAGCCCAGATAAAGAGGCCTGATGCGCGCTCGACCAACTTCTCCAAACGTTCATCGCCCGGCCATACTGCAGACGAGAGGCCGCGTTTCATCGCAATTTCTGCGAGACGTCGTTGGAAATATGTTCTAACATCGCGGCGAGAGTCTGAGTCGTAGATGTTGATCGCCAACTCGAGAACGTGTTGCTCCAATGGCGTATCCGTATTCCTGAATGATTTGAGAATCTCGTCCTCAGGACGGCTCGAGATCAAAATCTTGGCGTTTGGGTAATCTGGGAGCTTCGAAAAAAGCTTTGAAAATGTGGCCGCCGTATCCTCAAGGCGATCTCGGGTTGTTTCGTCCAGACCATCAAAGATGACCAGAATGGGAATGGAGGGATTGTTTTTCGCAGCTTTGCCAACCACGTCAATGAAAAGCTCAGCGGCCTCCTCTGGCGTGTCAACTGAGAATGAATGTCCCTTGACCGAGTCATGAAGCTGCTGTTCAACTTCATCCGATTGTTTGGCGACTTCCCGTACAACAGTTGGAAAGTATTTGATGGGATTCGTGGTGTTGGGGTCATTGCGATTTATGAAGAACTGAGCAGCGGCGATACGACGGGCCTTGCATTTGCGTACGACTGAGGCCATGATGGCAGATTTACCGCACCCGGGGGGACCAACCAGCCAAAGAAAGTTTTTCGAAGTTTTCTCAGAGTGGTCGTCAAGCCAAGTTTCTATCGTGTCAAGGATCTCCATCCTGGTGTCAGGACTGCATGGTTTCTTGTTCTGCAACGAATATGTGGCATTTGGGACGGTCCAAGAACCAAGTTCTTCTTCTAGTGCCTTTTGCCGCTTCTGTTCTTTGAGAATGCGTATCTGGTGTCGTCAATGAGCCTGGCAGTTCCAAACGGTGAGCAAAGAAAAATAGGTCACCCACGACTATCTCGTCCTGTGACTTCTTGAGCTTCTCGAGGGTGACCATGAACATGTCTTGGCGAAGGAAGGTGGCCCGCATGAATTGGAAGATGGCACCGAGTCCACCGGAGATGACGATCAATGAACGAGCCTAAACATCGTTCAATAAAGGATGACAGCCTCAGACATAACTGTCGCCGCAAACATACATTGAACACTTGACGTGCATCATCCAGCCTCGCTCGGAAATCCGCAATCTCGCCCTCGACTTTCCTATTTCTAAATCTCCACCTTCCATCCTGCTATCAAAGGATATCAGCACATATCCCAAATCTTGTACACGTATTCATAGCATTCGTACCAATCGAACTGCTGCCCAACCACATATCTCATCGACAAGAGACCTTCCAAATACAACGTCAGACAAGAGTAGCCAAGATGAACATGTATACTTGGCACACACCGCATATCTGCAAGATTACTCCAAGTGATCCTGGTGAACCGACCATTTCCTGCTCTGACAAAGGACTCGTTCACCTGACTAACCCAATGAATGATTTCGATGGCAAAATTCCGGACCTCATGTTGCGAGTACCCGATTTTCTAACAAGATACAGGTAAGTGGAGGCAATAAAAACGCTCGGATGAGCGAGGTTGCGTACCGCCCCCAATTGAACAAGTTGAGCAACCGATTTGACCAAACTGCGCGCAGGAAACGGAGCGTCGGGTACCAGCTCGAAGTAATCCTGCCCGTTATTGATTGCATCGTCAACGCGTCGAAAAATGTGGTCAAGGCTAGAGTTGGGATTTTCGAGCGTCCATTTCGAAAGACTGGCAAAGAACTGTGCGTCAAGGTTCCAAGTGCCGACCGATGGAGAAGTCTGCCATGGTACTGATGGCCTTTGAGAGAAAGGCGTTAGTTGGTCCGTCCGATCTTTCTCAGGGCTTACTGAACGCTGACCCGGGTTGCTTCGTCTTTTTTATGTAAGAGAAAAAACGCGATGAACGCATATGTTGAAGTTTGGGCAATGGTGGTTGAAAAGCAATGCTGTAGATTGAGAAGAAGGGCGATGCACCTTGCTGTAGCTCGACATCACGTTTTGATTGACTCGGATGTCGTATGTAGCCTGTCATGAGTAGTACCCAGTTCAACAGGCTTTCAAGCTTGCAATATGTCTTTGTCCATCCACACCGACTCAGTTGTGTGGAGCTCAAGTTTCTCACCGTCAAGAACAACGACTGCAGGCGGTGAGCGCGTCTGGCGTTGCGGTCAACACGTCGTTGAGTGCGGGCGCATCAATACCAGACTGGATGGTACTGTTGAGTAGGCCAGAGGTGAGAAGGATAAGGAGGAGGCGAGGTGGTCAAGCGCGAGGACCTGCAGCAGGGCGGCCGAGGTGCACGTCCGGTGTGGTGACCGATTGAGCACGTCGGATGCGGGACCCAGATGTGCATTGGTTGCTAAAAGACTGCTTATAGTACGAGTGTTAGGCTGTGTATGATGTCATTGAAGCGACTTGGGTACACGTATCCATTGACAATGAACAATGACTCCATTGTGGTAAGGGGCATCTAATCTTATCTGCGCAATACCAGAATCCAGGCCTCCCTGAACTCACCATTACTGTGGAGACAATTCTTCCTTGTCATCGAACTAACTTGAATCCACCATCACGGTATGTGTTCTGGGGTGGGTGTACATTTCTGAGGCGTACCCCAAGCAATCAACACTAGTGCTATATCCCAAGAAATTTTGAGGTAGGTCTGCTGTTGGTGGACTCAGAACTAGGTACCGAACACACTAACTCTGGTGATGTTGACAGTAAAGGTCCCGCTTGGATTTCTGTGCGTAAGTGGTCAACCGGATACACTAAGTTCACTTTAGACCTAAACATCCTATGACTTGGTCTGGCATAGTGGCCTTGTTCTCTTGGATGTGTGTGTTCCCACTGCACTGCACTGGTGATTTTCTACAACATAGACATCTCAAGCTCCTCTGAGCCAGAAGAACTCAGCGTGTAGTTGGATTCTGCCCCTGGTCTGGAGCGAGAATTTCGTGAGACAAGGCCTTCTCTCTCACGTCTCAAGCTCCTTTGAGCCGGAACTTGAACCCAGCGTGTAGTTGGATTCTGCTCCCGATTTAGTGCGAGAGTTTCGTGAGACAAGGCCTGCTCTTTCATATACATATAAGGCTGCAAGACTCTACTTATTCACAAACCAGGATTGCAAAAGCTACCATGGTACAGATAGCACCACTCCTCTTTGCTGGCCTCATTGCCTGGAGCGTTTCGACACCATTCAAGCGCACGGTGGCACAAGTCGAAGCCGACATCGCGAGGATCTCGACCCAGGCAACAGCCTTCGACAACGCTATCGAGTTGTTCGCCAGCTCCGGCATAGCCTCGCTCATGGATGCGTTGGTAAATAACTTCTGTTCGCTATGAGAACCCATCTAAGCTGAAACCAATACAAATGCGATTCAGTCGAGTGCATTGAATCTGACTTCCCAATTCAACACGGCGACAACGGATGTTGCTGTACGCCTCTATTTCCTTTCTGGATATAAGTTGGCGCTATTCACAACAATGTTCACAGAATACAGGGCCAGTTTCCGAAGCTGACGCTCATACCATCTTGAGCAGTGTAGATACTAGAGGCATTCGAACCTACCATTATCGACGCTTTGACCAACATCATTAACAAGAAGGCTGCGTTCCAGGAGTTGGCGATTGCGCGTATCCCAGCTCTGGTCCTTTCGGGCCTCAGGACCCTCAACACAAGCAGTGCAGCGGCGTGCGATGCCTTTGAGAGAGGGCTGACTGGCGCAACCCTGGTTAGGGCTCGTTTTTCATTGTAAATCTAAGCGCATCACGTACTCAGATTTCTTTAGGCTGATCTAGTGACCGAAGCTAGGCAAACGCAGAGTATTGGGACAGCTGCATTCAACGAAGCCATCGCAGCCTACACATAACGTAGTCTCCGCGCGGCCCGACTCGGACAGTAACTTTGCTCCACTGAAGCCCTGAAGGGTAAGACTGGAGGCCTAGAGGTATAAAATCGGGCCTGCTATCTGCCCAGAAGACGCAAGTACTTACTTTTAGGTGATTCCTATATAGATGTTCGCCTCAATCGCGGCAAACGTCATAATCTGGTCCTGGAACCGCTCCAATCTCCTCCTACTAAACATTGACCCAATCAGTGACCTGCTCGCCCTACCCCACGCTGAATACTTCAAGCCTGATACGAAGGGGAGTAAGTATGAGGTTGTGACCCTAGGCCTGTATGCGACTAGTACTGGTGTCACGCGGCTGGCGCCATACATATTTAAACTTTAAGGGCTTATAACTTAGAGGCCATGCGAACGCGCCGTCTAACTGATTTGACAACGGACTTGATTTGACTTCTTTTCCAGTTGCTCGCGGGCCCGGCGGATAGGCTGAGATGACATCTACTGGCACTCACCTCCTTGCTCACCTCCAGATCCACTGTCACGGTCTGTGTTCTGCGGTGGGTGTACATTTCTGAGGCGTACTCCAACCAATACTAGTGATGTTATCCCAAGAAATTTTGGGTAGGCCTGCTGTTGGTGGTCACAGAACTCCCTGCTCCCTGCGTGCTCTGTTTTGCATAAAAGATAGACTCACAGGGCCTTGAGAAAACTATCTCGATTGCTATACCTACCTGTTCTTCAATCCTATCCTTGAACATTGCCGTCCCCATGCTACGGCTTATCCAAATGCATCATGATTTTGTGGGTGTTGAGAAATATCCGCCCTCGTGCTTGACTCAATCAGCTGGAATATAGATGGGAGAGAACATCGCTTTTTCACAGGTGCATGTCCCATAGCTTAGTTGGCTACGGCGTCCGACTGTTATATCTGAGTCGGATTCTTTGTCTATTCATCGGAAGATCGAGAGTTCAAGTCTCTCTGGGACAGTTTGAATTCTGTGGTGAGTTTTTCTTTCTCTTTCTCCGGTGGGATCTCTTTCCAAAGACGCACCCGCCGCCTGCAGCACCAAAGAAAATACAATCAGATATACTATGGCCTACCATGCACTCGACAGGCCCTCCTACTCGACAGGTCACTGATCGTCACCTCACCTGATCATAAGCGGGTGAAGATGTGACAAGAGAGTGACAAACTGTCGAAGATCGTTGAAAAGGGACTCGACATCCACTTCATATTTTACTTCCATTCAAGTCGAATCTTCCTTGCTTATATGATTGAAACTTAACTAAGGAAGAATTACAGAAAAAATCGATGTGGAATGACGAAAGATCAAAATGTGTCGAGTAGGGGGGCCTGTCGAGTGCCTAGTAAGCCATAGTATTTCTGTGTTAACAAAACCGGCCACGGGAGGCATATCCTCCACGCGCGTCATTGCCATGTGGATATAGATAGATAAACAGCGAGCTGCCCCTCCGCGATTCGCAAGTTCGTATCATATATCAAGCATGTGGCGTTTCGTCCGGAAATGGAGAAAGTCACCACCTCAGAACACCTTCGAGGTCTCATTTTATAAGCGGGAAACTCCCCTCCAACATATTATATTCTGAGCCAGAGTGTCTACATAAAATCGTGTTACCGCGCCCCGAACCTTGACCTCATCCCCATTTCAGCGAGCGTGCGCACCTCGTCCTCTAAGAACCCGAGCCCAAGCGGTGCTGGCGCGAGGAGGAGCGCGTATTCGGCTTCGAGGGAGGTGCGGAAGGGGAGGACGTCGTCCATCTGTGATTGTATGTCAGAAAACGTAAGGAGTGGGGAAGAAGAAGGGAGGAGGAAGGGAGGGAGGGTGGAGGGATGACGCACGCAGATGGCGATGGGGTGCCCATGCTCGAGGTAGTGCCCTATGTGGTGCGCGTCGAGCGTCGGGGCGGTTTTGCACCTGCAGCCGCGAACATCAACATCAATACGGATGGAAGATGGATAGGAGAAGCTTAAGGATATTGACAAGAGATTGGAGGTGAGCCATATCTCGATACACGTGTTGTTCGCCGCCACGACCTTGTTCGCCTCCTCGTCGAGGAACGTCGCGTGTCCGACCGGCCGGGGGCGAACGACAGGAGCTTCATCGTCTCCTCGGGTGTGTTTCTCTCTGTCTGCAGTGCACATTACCATGTTATTCCAACCTACGAAACGGAAGAAGAAGACGTGCCAACACACCTCAGCAATATGCACCGTGACGCCCAACCCTGCTTCCCTCGCCTCCAAAATGTACTTTCCAAATACTTCAACATCCCCCGCCAAAGGGTCACCAGAGATCCACACCAACGATGGGCTCCCCTTCTGCCCTCAGTTTTCATGCGAGGCCTACGACCTCCCCCAGCGCCTCCTCACCCATCCTGCGATCCATGCTCACGATGAGCCCCACCCTCTGTTGCCCAAGATTGTAAGCGCGCAGCTCAGCCAGCACGGTGCGCAGGTACACCTCGCGGGACATGCTCGGTGTATGCTGAGGCGTCGTCCGGAGCTCGAGGTACGCGCACTGTGGGTTGAACTGGGTTCTCCCCATCCAGAAACAGCGCCAGCACCGCGAGGGCGGGCGTCGCCGTCAACGCATATATAGTCGTGAACAGGGCAAAAAATCGCTAATGTCATTCAGCGCGGGGCCCTTCAGTAGCGCATCGATTCCGTTCTGTATCGCAGCTTTAGGTAGGCCCGACGGGGCGGGGGAAGAGGGGTGCTCCCGCGCGAGGTCCTGTAAAGCGCGATGGGGATCTAGCCGTTTAGGTGTGCGTGGAGCTCAGCCTTTGAGAGGGAGCGGAAGAAGTCGCGCTGGGAAGGTGAGAGGGCGGGGAGGGCGGGGCCGGCGATGGACATTGTACATTGGGGATTGGGATGATGATCGCCTGGGTTGAAGATGTCTGAGGAGAACAATGACGTACCGTTAGTGGGGTAGGTTGTCAGAAGATCTAGCGACAATTCTAGGGATGTCTTGTATGCCTAAGCTTCTAAATTGATGGTGTCCTGTGCGTGCGCTAGAAGAAGACCACCCTTCCGAATCGACCAAGACCAACTCACCGTCATCAGAAGTGGGGGTAGTGTGCAATGTCTCCTGAAATTGTCCAAGTTGTTTATATACTTCCAATATCCGTGGATCCGTCAACCAAGAGAGCAGGAGTCAGCTGGCAAGCGCATGGTGGATCGAGTCACAAACGAACTCTTGCCACCCAAAACGTCGATCTTATCTTATCTGGAAATTTTGTTCATGGAAATTGCGCGATGCGTCTGCGGGGTCTACAGTAGCATCACACAAAGTCGGACGGGACAGAGACGCAGAGTATCCATGATCACAAACCCATACGCATCGAATCCGAGTTCCACGGCACGCACAACCAAGAAAATAAAGATAAAATTGCGTCTAACCCCTGCCAGAGAAACCAGGTTCCTTCCCCCTTCCCCACCATCTTCTCATGATCATCGACTCTAAACATTAAATTTTAAACGCCACCTCCATAGCCCTAAACGCCGTATTGGCGGGCCGCACCACAATGGGCACCTCACACTCCACTGTCTCAAGACTCATCGTGACTCCCTCCACGCCCCCTCCCTCTCACCACGAGTCATAGTCCACTCCGACCCCGACTCGGACGCTCCCAGAGGGGTGGGATCGTATACCGTCGTATTGAGTGTATGCGGGGCCTTCGGGTTGCCCTGGCTCCTCGTCTTCCAAGTCGTCGTCCGTCGTCGTCGATGGGGTTCAAAGACGACCCGAACGGAGAAGCGACGAGGGACGTGCCCCCCCGCGCACCCCGGAGTCTTCGACGGACGTGTACGTGTATGTGTGTGGGGAGTCCACAGCGTTTTGGGGGGTGCCATCGGCACGCGTTCAATTGAAGGCGCGATACTCCCCGGCGTAACCCACGCGCTACCCTACTTGCTCCTCGGCCCATCTCTCACCAGGCCCTTCATCCACACCTTTTCCTTTTCCTCAACTCCAGCTCCAGTCTCGTGTGTCGTAGCGACCCCAACAAGCAAACACACTCCAAGCCCCCGCCCTACCTCCTTCGCCTGGAGGCCCATCCACGGGACGTCCCAAATCTATTATGTGGACAGTCAAATCTTGTTCTCGTGTTATCGGAGGACAATGGAAATTTGCAGCAGGAGATATAATTAAATTTCTGTACGGTGAAAATCCTTAGTTTGCGTCACATAGATCCTGATATGGAAATTTGACACAATTGAATAATTGTTATGTGGCCGCCACTATCCCCGAAAATTTGATGTTTAAGTATCTGCTTTCTCAGACCAGAGATGTAAAATATCTAGCTGACAGCTGCAGAAATCATGTTAAGAAGCTTCGGTCTGTGTCCATTTTGATCGCACTTGAGATCTTTCGCCGTCTTCGGCAGTCACAAGTCAATATAAAAATCCTGAAGACCTGTCGTACAGCCATAGTTTCTCACACACGGAAAAGTAACGTTGTCCTCACACTTGCAGACCTTAATTTTTGTTTTACCGAGGTGACTTCCAAGTCCACGGTCGATTGGTCGAACTCGATCCCATCAAAGAACCACGGGAAAATCCAACGAAGCATCGGTTGCCACACTAAACGTCCCAGTAAGGTAGTATACAAGCGGGCAAATAATACATTTTTGAAGGCCTTTTGTCCCAAATCCTAGTCCCTTCAAGAATTCGTGCATCACAAATTGAACCCGGCTGAACATCCGAGATAAAACCCCGTTAAAGCCATCATCGCGAAAGGACTCTGCCTTCAGGCAGATGAAGACCAAGCATAGGCCTGAGAAATAGGAAATTTGAAATACAAGTTTGAAGTTGCCTTCTTGCCTTATGTCAACGTATGTCAAGAACAAGAAGCAAACATAGGAAGTTGGAGGAAGTGAAAATAAACCAAAATGACATGTAAAACATAGTAAATTTGTTTACCATGAAATTTCTTGAAGATGTTTTTCCATTAAATATATTTACTTCCTTTCAAGCTACTTTTGGGTTCTCGTACACTCAAAAATGTTCCTTGGCGTAGATTGGAACCTATTGAGGTTGGAGATGGGTGCTGCGGCGTATTTGGAATGCCGGAAATCCCCAGCGCCACACGGCAGACGACTTAAAATGCGTAGCCCTGAAGAAATAAAGAATAAAATTTGTGCGATAGAGGACGAGGGCAAATGGGCAAAAAGCAAGCTGACTCTGACAGGAAGTGACATCGAAGGCGCGGGGTAACAGAAGTTCAGAATTTGATGAGATCGAGTTAGACCAATCGACCCTGGAAATCCAGTCCGCCCACATTACCTAAGAACTACTGTGATCGGAAGATGCCGGTTATCCCAATTCGGAATGGCTGG